GCCTGGTGATATCAATAATTTACCACTTCACCTCTGATTGACCAGCAGCTCCTAGAAAGTGGGATTCCTGCCTGTAGGGGTCCTTGATCGCTGAGAAGGCTCATCTCTGGCTACCTAGGTACTTGACTGCTGCTTAGAACAATGGCCATCCTCAAAGGTGTCAGTGCAAGGCTCACATTGGCTCTCTAATCTCCTGATTAAATTCTGTGCATTTCCTTAATTGTTCCTCATCATCAGTATGGCTTGTTTATTGATAGTAATATTCCAGGAATCTTGATCTCCTCTCAATTGAAAGAGAGTCCATTAGCTCACCATTCACTTGGTTCAGAAGTATTGTATAGGTCAGTGTCTGATACCTTAGGAGCAGCTATAAATTTTTCATTGCTGCTTTTGTTTTGAGCAGCCCATCATGGAATCAGCATGATCAGGCAATGTGTTCAATGCTTAACTCACTTAAGAGGAAAACACATCCAATGCTTCTTCCCCTCCTCTTCATCCTCCTGAAGTGTCCACCAAAGAATGGAACCAAAATCAAAGATGGAAGAGCACCACATGTTTGGGAGCTCTTTGTTGAACATTGGAGTTCTCCTTGCAATGGTGCAGGTTTATTTTCACAGTGCTGACAGTTTTGACAGCATAGCTCTTGCTATCAGCACATATGGATAGTTGACAAGGGATCCAAGCCTAAAGTGGTAACCAACCTCTGGTGCAGTATGGTGGGTTACATGGTGGATACTCTGACTGCTGTATGATGATGGCATTTTACCTGCTACTAAAATGGAAAGAATTTTCCAACTTGTTTTGTATATGGTCACATTCGGGGAATGGTATTTCTTCTGGCTGATGTAATCTCTGGTCCCTGCAGAGCCACACTCATGTCTTTATCCATTACCAGGCATCTGGCATTATTGCCAACCCTACTATTCTGTCTGTTCAGAGAAGTGAGGATGCCTCCTGTTCTGGTGTGCAGCGCCACTGACCCACTCCCCCCAACTTTGTTTCTTTTAATTCAGAGGTTTTCACTGGCATATAGATTGAGGGCTACAGTGATCCTCCAGCCACCGGCAATGCCATCCTTGGCCTGCTATTTTGCAGTTGCAGCTGTAGCTGTGGGTAATTTACCACTGCCACTCTGATTGGTCAGCAGCTCCTGAAAGGCAGGATTCCTGCCTCCTTGATCCTTGGGAAGGCTGAATTTCAGAGATCAACTTTTGGTGAAATGGATGAGCTGCAGAACTTGTGCTTGGCTGAGGTGGAGGTATGAGTTGTGTTCCCTGATGATCCAAGGTGAGTACAGTCTGCTACTGAGAGCCACCCTCCTTCCCCCTCATTACACAGCCTCCTCTGAAAACTGTCTGTGCTCCAAATCCCTGTTATGTTGCAGGCCAAGAAGGTCAGCAACTATAGCCGTCAAAAGGCTTTCTACTGAAAAGCTTCCAAATTGCTTTGGCCTCCTTATTAAACCCCACCTGAATTCAAAACCAAAAGAACAGCAGATGCTGGAAATCAGACGCAAAAACAGAAATTGCTGGAAAATCTCAGCAGGTCTGGCAGCATCCGTGGGGAGAAATCAGCATTAACATTTTGGGCCCAGTGTTCCTTCTTCAGATTGGAGATGGATTGAGGAAATTAGAGGAAGATGGAGTGAAAGCAATGAGCTTTGTTAGAATCATAGAGCCATAGAATTGTCAAGCATGCAAACAGACCATTTAGTCCAACTCGGCCATGCCAGCTAGAATAGAATAGCCTTTATTGTCACGTGTACTCCAGTACAGAAGTACAGGTGTACAGTGAAGAGATTTTACAATGGCTGCCTTTAATGGCACCATATTAGGTACAAGTATCTAGGTTCAAATCTTGGATATAAAAGAGGAATAGAAAGAGAAGTAGTAGCATTATTAACAGTGTTTAAAAATTAAGTTACAAAATAAGATAGTTGTATCAGAGTTAAAAAATTGACATTACAGTCTGATAAAGAATTTCCAATAGCAGCAGCTCAGCACGTGGTCTGACTACCCACACCAGGCCCAGTCCAACAACTGTCCCACTCTACTCCGAGCCTCCAGTGTACTGTGCGCCAGCAATCAGCTACACCAAGGTAAGTTGCACTGCTCCGGGACTCGCCTCCCCTCGTGCTGCTCCGGGACTCGCCTCACCTCCCCTCACGCTGCTCTGGGACTCGCCTCCCCTCACGCTGCTCTGGGACTCACCTCCCCTCACGCTGCTCCAGGTCTTGGGCTCTCCCTTACGCTACTCCAGGACTGCTAAAAAGAAAGAAAAGAAACAAAACGAACAGGCAGAGCACAGGAGCTCCGGATGGAGTGTCCTACTCTGCTGCCATCTTGCTGGAGAGATAGCAACTAAATATCCTAAATTAATTCAGTCCCGTTTACCAGCATTTGGCCCATATCCCTCAAAACCCTTCCTACTCGTATACCCGTCCAGGTGTCTTTTAAATATTGGAATTATACCCACATCCTCTGGTAGCTCATTCCATTCACGCACCACCGTCTCTGTGAAAAGGTGCCCCTTAGGTCCCTTTTAAATCTTTCCCCTTTTACCTTAAACCTATACCCTCTAGTTTTAGACTCCCCTACCCTGGAAAAGAGACCTTGGCTATTCCTCCTATCCATGCCCCTCAAGATTTTATAAACCTCTTTAAGATACCCCTCAGCTTCCGACGCTCCAGGGAAAATATCCCCAGCCTATTCAGCCTCTCCCCAATAGCTCAAACCCCCCTAACCCCGCCAACATCCTTGTAAATCTTTTCTGAATTGTTTCAAGTTTATCAACACCCTTCCTGTAACAGGGAAACCAGAATTCAACGCAGTATTCCAAAAGTGGCCTAACAAGTGTCCTGTACAGCCGCAATATGATGTCCCAACTCCTATACTCAAAGCACTGACCGATAAAGCAAGCGTACCAAGTGACTTCTTCATTATCCTGTCTACCTGCGACTCCACTTTCAAGGAAATTTACAGCTGCGCCCTAAGGTCTCTTTGTTCAGCGATACTCCCCAGGACCCTACCAGTAAGTTGTCAAATACTCCCCTGATTTGCCTTTCCAAAATGCAACAGCACTGCTGCCTCACAGCACCAGGGACTAGGGCTCGATTCCAGCCTCGGGCGACTGTCTGTGTGGAGTTCACACATTCTCCCTGTGTCTGCGTGGGTTTCCTCTGAGTGCTCTGGTTTCCGCCCACAGTCAAAAGATGTATAGGGTAGGTGGATTGGCCATGCTAAATTGCACATAGTGTTCAGGGGTGTTTAGGTTAGGTGGGTAAGACATTGGAAATGCAGGGATAAGGGAATGGGTCTGGGTGGGATGCTGTTTGGAAGGTCAGTGTGAACTTGTTGGGCCAAATGATATGTTTCCACACTGTAGGGATTCTATGATTCTAAACTCCATCTGCCACTTCTTGACCAATCTGATCAAGGTACCGTTGTACTCTGACATAACCTTCTTCACTGTCCACTACACCACCAATTTTTGGGTCATCTGCAAACTTACTAGCCAGACCTCCTACTTTCATATCCAAATTATTTATATAAATGACAAAAAGCTGTGGACCCAGCACCGGTCCTTGTGGCACACTGCTGGTCACAGACTTGCAGTCTCAAAAACAACCTTCCACCGCCACGCTATGTCTCCTACCTTCAACTAAATTTTTAATCCAAATGGTTGCTCTCCCTGGATTCCATGTGATTTACCCTTGCTGACTAGTCTACCATGCAGAACCTTGTCGAATGCTTTGCTGAAGTCCGTATAGACGATGTCCACCGCTCTGCCTTCATCAATCTTTGTTGTCACTTCTTCAAAAAACTCAACCAAATTAGTAAGACATGACTTCCCATGCATAAACCTATGTTGACTATCCCCAATCAGTCCTTGCCTTTCCAAATACATGTAAATCCTGTCCCTCAGAAACCGCTCCAATAACTTACCCACCACTGTCATCAAGCTCACTTGTCTGTAGTTTCCTGGCTTTTCCTTATCACATTTCTTAAATAATGGCACCACATTAGCCACTCTCCAGTCTTCTGGCACCTCAGCCATGGCTGTCGATGATACAAATATATCAGCAATGGGTCGGCCAATCACTTCCCTAGCTTCCCACAAAGTTCTGGGATACACCTGATCAGGTCCAGGGGATTTATCCACGTTTATACGATTTATGATATACAGTACCACCTCCTCTGTAATATAGACACTTTTCAAGATATCACTATTTATTTCTGCAAGTTCTCTGGCTTCCATATCCTCCTCCTTGAAGTGCTGCAGTAGTCAGGGCCCTCCTAAATAAAGAAGGTCCAAGATTTTGATAACATAACAATGATATAATGGGAACCAGTTGACACTGACAAAACCTTGGAGGTGATATTGCTGCACACATCTGGCAAGTTGAGGGTATACTGTTACACTTCTCCCTTTTGTTATCATCTAATCTGGTCTGAAAGAATGCCAGAGACCTACTGGAATAAGGTAACAGGTGATGGATATATTAATGAACGGTTACTCCGGTTTGAGTTGGTTGTCTCAATGTAGGATGACAGTAATCAGTGGGAGGTAAGTTTTATGGTGTGTAGTTGATGGGTATAAGGTTCTTAAAGTATGGTCTTGAGCTCTGTTTAAAGACAGTTTCTCAGTTGAAGAACCCTTGTGCATTGTCGGATGTTTGAGAATTCTTTGAGACTTCTGAAGGTGAACTGCAAAATACCCAGCCCTGATTAGTTCTGAAAGCTGTGGCATTTATGTGGCTTATTGCAATTGTGTCTCCGTCATTATGGAAAAGAAAGTAATGATTGTAATGTTGGTAATATTTGCTATACAGGCAAAACAGTGAATTACATTTATTGCTCTAGTTTTGCATTTAGGAGAAACAAAATTTGGTGTTTTCCTGAATTGAAATATATTGTGATTCTGAAAAATGAATTATGATGTATAAGGTTTTAATGTTAGGAACTTTTGAGGTCTAATTGTGTCTCTCCTTCTCTGTTGAGCCTGTTGGATGCTGGCAAACTGTTTCTAACAGACAGCATGAAGAAATTGACTAAAGAGTCGAGTATCCCAATGCTGAGATCATTCACACAGGTATTTACAATTTCTTATTCTCTAAGCTAGTGAACTTGGAACATCTCTGATTGAGTCAATCCATTCAGATCAGTTTTCCCCAAAGGTAGTGTTGCAAAAAAAAGAACTATTCAGAAGGCTAATTATTAGTCTTCAACAAGGTCTCAGTATAATTTATCGGGTATAGGAGGCCAGTCAGTCCATTGTTGCCTGTGCTTGCTCTTAGAAAGACTTGTTCAATTAATCACATTCCAAAGTTATTTTCCCCTACAGTCTTGCAAATTTCTCCTTCAAGTACATGTCTAATTCCTGACTAAAATTAATAATTGACTCTGCTTCTGCATTCTTTCAAACAGTGTATTCCCAATTATAACAATTTCTAAAGAAAATCTCCATTTTTATTGTGTGAACAATTCATCCCACTGCTCCCTACATTGTATGAGTTCTCTGGTCAGTTGTTCGCTGTGGGGTAGTTTTGCTGCCACCATCCTCTTTCAGGGTGGGGACTTACAGGGCTCACCCAAGTCCAGTGAGATAGAAGAAAATTATTTGGGTGTCTCACAAAAAAAGTTTCATGTTTTCAAAAAGTTGTAGTTTATTGTTCATTGACTACTGTGTCCAAGTCATGCTGACATGGTAAGCATTGTTACAAAGACTGAGGAAGACCCTTGAAGACAACTCTTTGAGATCCTAACATGTTCTCCCACCAAGGCCATATGACATCATCATAGCTTGAGGTATCCAAGGCAGTCCTCAGTATTGAATTTTTCAGACTCTTGCACCTTCTATTCAATACTCATTGGTTGACAAAAGGTGACATGAGGAAGAAGTTTTTCTACAAAGGTGGTTAAGATTTACGTTGTTCTACTCGGGATGATGGTGGTTACAGCTTTAAAAGCAGGCCTTGGAAGAGAATGTACTTGAAGGTGAACAAATACAGCGATTCTGGAGGAGAGTTGGAAAGTTGCATAAACTGGATTGCTCTTCATAAGAGTTGGTACAGACTTGGTGGGTTAAATAATCCTATTTATTGTATTATCTATTTGATGTCATTTCTAGTTGGAGAGTTATCTTTAATTGGTATTCTTTGCTTGAACACATTCTTTAAATTGAGCAGGGAAGGTTGTCATATTTCAGGATGTATTCATCATTTTGAAAATTTAATACTGCAAATTATATTTATTGAGAGACCAATTGTATAATTGAAAATACTAAATTACAGCATAAATGTTTGATTTCCCCATCTGCATGGAAGTAAAATAAAATAGTTAAAACAATTTGCATCAAGCCATGCCACTCAGTTTGCCTTTGAATAGATTTAACAATGTGAAAAGAAACAGCTGTTTAGTCACATCAGAAAATGATGATGCTGTCCAGTCCATGTGTAGTGCTATCATAAAGATAGTTGTGGAGCAGTCAGTCAAATCCTATAGAATCACATGCTGAGTCCACTTCTGGGAGTGACAGGCACCTCTGAACCCAAGAACATTTTACTGCTAGTGCTTGTTGCTCCTCCTGTCAGGAGATATGCTTTCATGGTTTGCCACACATGTCTGTCTGGTGCCATTCTCATATTCAGCGTAGCTTGTCTCTCATTCTTTGATATCCATGTTCAATTGCGCCTAGTTCAACCACTCTTTTCTGCTGCCTCTACTTTGCCCTCTTGGAGAGATATCTGTAGCTTTTCTGCTCTGATCAAATGTATGAAGTATTGTCATTTTATTATCAGAACTATTTTTGCTCGTGCAATTTCAAACACCTCAGTTGTCTGATGGCCCATATATGGAACTTAAGCACATTTGTTAATATCCATATCTCAAAGGTCTCCATTTTCATCCCTACACCTTCACCGATTTTCTAGGTTTCTGTGGGCATATGGAAAGGTGGAGAGAACATTGCATCATTTGAGTTGTTCCTTTTCATGAACTTAAGTTTCCTTGTTAACAAAGAATAGCATAGCACGGGAACAGGCCTTTCAACCCACCAAACGTGTGCTGACACACAACACTTTTTTAAATTAAAAACCTTTTGCATTTTTACAGTCCATATCTCTCTATTGCCTGCCTGTTCATGATCAAGATGCCTCCTAAATTTTGCTATTGCAGCTGCTTCTATCTCCTGCTCTGACAATGCATTCCAGGTACTTACCACCCTCTGTGTAAAAAAACTTGCCTTAAACTTCCCTCTTTTTACCTTAATTGACATTTCTTCCCTGAGAAAAACACTCCAACTATCCATTCTACCCATGCTTCTCATAATTTTGTAAACCTCTATCAGGTCACCTTTCGACATTTCAGTGAAAACAAATCAAGTTTTTTCCAATCTCTCCTTCAAGCTAATGCCTTCCAAGCCAGGCAACATCCTAGTAAATCTTTTCTATACCCTCTCCAAAGCCTCCACCTCCTTTTGGTACTGTACAACGAGAACTGTACACAATAATCCAAATGTGGCCTGATTAAAGTTCTACACAGCTGCAACATGACTTGATAATTTTTATACAATATGTCCCGATGGATGAAGGCAAGCATACCATATGCCTTCTTGACCACTTTATCCACTTGCATTGCCACTTCCAAGGATCTGTAGACATGTATGCCTAAATGCCTCAATGTCAATGTTTCTAATGGTTCTGGTGTATACTTCCCTCTTACACGAGACCTTCCAAAATGCATCACCTCACATTTGTCTGGATTAAACTCCATCTGCCATTTCTCTGCCAAAATATTCAGCCTTTCTATATCATCACTGTCTGCAGCTCTCCCAACTTCTGCGTTAGCTGCGAGCTTGCACTAATGAGACCACCGACATTCTCCCCCAAATCATTTCTTTACATTACAGACAACAGGAGTTCCAGCACTGATTCTTGTGGAACACCAGTGGTTGCAGATCTCTAGTCAGAAAAATACCCTTTCACCGTTACATTCTGACTCCTATGACCAGGCCAGTTCTGCATCTGTCCTACCATCTCATTGCAGATCCCATGTGACTTAAGAACAAAGAAAAGAACAAAAAAGCACAGGAACAGGCCCTTCGGCCCTTCAAGCCTGCACTGACATGCTGGCCGTCACAGCTAAAACCCCCTACCCTTCTGGGAATCATATCCCTCTATTCCTATCCTATTCATATATTTGTCAAGACACCCTTTAAAAGTCACTATCGTATCTGCATCCACTACCTCCTCTGGCAGCGAGATCCAGGCAACCCTCTGTGTAAAAAAACTTGCCTCTTACATCATCTTTGAACCTTGACCCTCACACCTTAAACCCATGGCCGCTAGTAACTGACTCTTCCACCCTGAGAAAAAGCTTCTGACTGTCCAGTCTGTCCATGCCCTTCATAATCTTGTAGACCTCTATCAGGTCGCCCCTGGACCTCTGCCGTTCCAGAGAGAACAAACCAAGTTTCTCCAACCTCTCTTCATAGCTAATGCCCTCCATACCAGTCAACATCCTGGTAAATCTTTTCTGTACCCTCTCCAAAGCCACCTCATCCTTCCGGTAGTGTGGCAACCAGAATTGAAAACAATATTCCAAATGCGGCCGAACTAAGGTTCTATAAAGCTACAACATTACCTGCCAATTTTTAAATTCAATGCCCCAGCCGATGAAGGCAAGCATGGCAAGTGCCTTGTTGACTACCGTCTCCACCTGTGTTGCCCCTTTCAGTGACCTGTGTACCTGTACACCCAGATCTCTCTGTCTGTCAGTACTCTTAAGGGTTCTGCCATTTACTCTATATTTTCCATGTGGATTATTCCTTCCAAAATGCATTACATCACATTTTTCCGGATTAAACTCCATCGGTCATCTCACTACCCAAGGCACCAACTGTAGTTTATCCAGCTGTATCCTTTGACAGTCCTCAAAGCTATCCACAATTCCACCAACCTTTGTGTCCTCGGCAAACTTACTAATCAGACCAGTTACATTTTCCTCCAAATCACTTATATATATTACAAACAGCAAAGGTTCCAACACTGATCCCTGAGGAGTGCCACTAGTCACAGCCCTCCATTCGGAATGCACCCTTCCACTGATACACTCTGTCTTCTATGACTGAGCCAGTTTTTTTAATCCATCTTGCAAACTCACCTCTGACCCTGTGCGACTTTGCCTTCTGCATTTGCCTGCCATGACAGACCTTGTCAAAGGCCTTACTGAAGTCCATGTAGACAACATCCACTGCCCTACCCTCATCGATCATCTTCGTCACTTCCTGAAAAAACTCAACCAAGTTAGTGAGACACGACCTCCCCTTCACAAAACCATGTTGCCTCTCGCTAATACGCCCACTTATTTCCAAGTGGGAGTAAATCCTGCCTCGAAGAATCCTCTCCAATAATTTCCCTACCACTGACATAAGGCTCACCAGCCTGTAATTAACTGGATTACCCTTGCCACCCTTCTTAAACAAAGGAACAACGTTGGCTATTCTCCAATCCTCTGGGACCTCCCCTGTAGCTAATGAGGATACAAAGATTTCCCTCAAGGCCCCAGCAATTTCCTCCCTGGCCTCTCAGTATTCTGGGGTATATCCCATCAGGCCCTGGGGACTTGTCTAACTGAATGTTTTTCAAGAACCCCAATACCTCCTGCCTTTTGATCTCAACATAACCCAAACTATCTATACACCCTTCCCCAGACTCATCATCTATCAAGTCCTTCTCTATGGTGAATACTGATGCAAAGTACTCATTTAATACCGCGTCCGTTTCCTCTGGCTCCACATATAAATTTCCTTCCCTGTCCTTGAGTGGGCCAACCCTCTGCCTGGCTACCCTCTTGCTCTTTATGTATGCATAAAAGGCTTGGGATTTTCCTTAATCTCATTGATCAATGACTTTTCATGACCCCTTTTAGCCCTCCTGACTCCTTGCTTAAGTTTCTTACGAATTTCCTTGTATTCCACCCTTGCTACATGTGTTCCCAGCCTCCTAGCCTTGATTAATGCTTCCTTTTTCGTTTTGATTAGGCTCACAGTATCTCTCATTATCTATGGTTTCCTAAACTTGCCATACTTAG